ATAAACTTCAGTTCCGTTCTATTAAGACCCCATGGTCCAAGAAAATGGTCACCGTTCGATTGTAATCCCACAGTAATTAGTGGTTTAACTTTTGTTGTTGTACTTTTTTCTTAACCGTTGGACTTAAGATCAAACGCTTGGTGACCACATTTATCTTGGACAATGAGGTCGAGGAGAACGAGACTCTTATAAATTTGGGCCCCTTAGTAGGAGATGTAGAATTCGAATGTAAAAATCCACATTGATTTTGTGAAAACTTTTTCTTGTCCTAAATGTATGTGATCTTATTTTATTTCATTCACAAGCTCTCTCAACTATTTTGCTTTCGTTCATTTCTTTTGTTGGCATATTGTTTCTTAATTTTCTTTCTTTTTGATACATTTGAGGGTCCAAAGGCTCAAAACGGCAAAAACTCAACCAGATACTACAGGGCCTACTGGGCCTAAGACTTTTACTTTTGTGGGTACTGTCAGGGTTCGTTTGGGTTGGATCTTCTAGTTTTGGTGGTAAATTATACAATTGAGTTTAAGGCTCATTTAGAGCTGTTTGATAACAATTTCATTTTCAATTTGAAAACTATATTTGTTTATAAATTCTCTTGGCAGGTGGGTAATACTTGGAGTAGCTATTTATTACCAGCTTGATAAGGAATTACGTGAGCTTTTGGGGAAACTGAAATCTTGTTTGGTAACTAATTCCAGTTTTTAGTTTTTAAAAAATGAAAGACACTTTATTGAGTTTTCAAAATTTGCCTTTCAGTTTTCAGTTTTTGGTTTTCAATGCTCATTTTATTAAAAATTAATAGTTACCAACTTACCGACAAGATTTCAGTTCTCAAAAAGTAAGAGTGAAAACCAAAAACTGAAAACGAAATGATTACCAAATAGCTTCTTAGCAGTATAGCTCACAATGCATGCTGCCACTCTTTTGGAGCAATATTACTATTTTAAATTACACTAAGGCCTTCCACATTAGGCTGGAAAAAAAGTGCATTATACTAATATTTTGAGCATGGAGGAATCACCTTACAGTGGGTCGGAAAAATTTGAATGTGATACCAATATATTAAACTACGATAGTGATAGCAATAACATAAATGAGTTGGGTCTCACTACTTTATATATTATATTTTTAATGAGGGGTATTTTAGGCCATCTCCAACCGAGGATTGGTCAGAGGGCTCATTTTAACCCTTTGGCCCTCCAAGAAATTAATATTTTAATGAACAATACAGGGTTATATTTGCCTCCGTTTCCAACCGAGGGTCAAAGGGCCATAGGGCTCGTTTTAGCCCTGTCACAAAAAACCGTCTCCAACCGAGGACCAAATGGCCATAGGGTCAGACATAATTTATTATTTAAAAATTACAACTTAAATTCAAATCCAACGGCTAAATGACGTTAGCTGGCCGTTGGATATGAATTTTTCTTTTGCTATGAATAGGGTGGATATTCGGTTATAATTCACACAACTTTGAATTCAATCTATTTCAATTCAAGTTTGCAATGAATTCCAACTTTGGATCCTTTTCGGATTCCAACTGAGGGTCTTCATCCAATTCCAAATTGGAAGCAAAATGGGCGCAAATGAGACGAGAAGATGAACAGTCTAATTAAGAAGTTCTAGTAAGGCGCAACAAACAAAATAGAGCAGCAGCCATGGTTGGGGCCATGGTATGTCAGCCAACTGAGGAACAACCTCAATAGGGTAGCTCTATTGCTGGTCGCTCTTACAAACCACGAAACAGAGCGATGTCACATGCTAATCTGATGAACAACTACTTCAACCCCAACTTGGTGTACACAAAAGAGGATTTCAGACGTCGCTTCCAGATGAGATGTCATGTCTTCGAGTGTTTACTTCGTGATGTCCAGCAGGTTAATCCATATTTTCGACAGAAGCGGGATAGAGCATGCCGCCCTGGTTTCTCACCTCATCAGAAAGTTACTGTCGCACTCCGAATGATGGCCTATGGCTCCCCATTTGATTCGATGGATGAAACCTATGGTATATCTGAGTCTACATGCCTTGATACTCTTGAACAATTCTGTGACGCAATTGTTCAGGTTTACAAAGACGAGTACCTTCGTGAGCCAAATCAAGAAGATCTGAATTGGCTCATTCGCAAAGCTGAAGACTGTGGGTTTTCGGGCATGATAAGGTTATTAGACTGCATGCATTGAGATTGGAAGAACTGTCCCACCGGATGGCAAAGAGGCTTTAGCAGAAGGTCGAGAAAGCCAACTGTGGTGTTAGAGGTGGTTACCTCATATGTCAAATGAATCTGGCATTCTTTCTTTGGAGTTCCTGGATCCCAAAATGACATTACAGTTCTTGGGCGATCACCTCTCTTCAATAACTTGACAGAAGGTAAAGCACCTCAACTTGACTACTACATCAACAATCGTCAATACAATATAGGGTATTACTTGTCAGATGACATCTACCTAGGGTTGGAAAAAAATATCCTAAAAATACCAAACCAAACCGAAAAATTCTCGAAATCGAACCGAAAAATTCCCAAACCGAAATTCCCGAAAATTTTGGTACCCAATACCGAACCGATCCTGACATTTTGGTATGGGAATCGGTCTCAAGTTTTTGGGATTTTGGTAATCCCAAACCGAACCGAAACAAAAAATATTATTTAATTTTTAAATATATAATTAGAATTTTAATAGCCTTTGGATTATGTTGAGATTTAATCTCAACCGTTGCATATAATCGAAGTTATCAACCTGTGTTTGACTCTCTATCTCTCGACATTCACTTAGTCACACATAAGAGTCTCTCAGACCTAACCTCACCTCAGTATCTCCTCGCCGATTTGTCTCTCCTCCCACATCCGTCGCCTGAATCCCGAATCTACCCACAACAGTCCTCATTCCTCTCAATCCCCAGTCCTCACCTGTATCGTGCCTTCACCGAACCACCGAATTCGGCTCCTGAATTGAGCTCTCAATCTCAGTCCGCACTCCTCCTCACTGCAAAAGGTAAGAAATTCCTGCAATGAACTCAACCAAAGCTCATACAAATTGTTTGATTCCAAATTCGATTAGAGAATTTGAAATTGGGTTTCTGAATTAGGGCTTTTGGAATTAGGGATTTAGAATCGACGGAGAGGTTACAGAGGGAATATGAGAGGTGAAAGGGGGAGGGAGCCTGACTTAAATGTTTTGTAAAATACCTTATGCAATCAAAGCTTTTTTCGTAAATTTTGGCAAGGTACTCAGGTACCCCATTCCTTCTTTTTGTAAATTTTTCAAATGGATTTTAGCGAGGTACTCAGGTACCCCATTCGTTCTTTTCGTAAAATTTGTCACTGCAGTTGATTTAGGGTTATTCATATATGGTGCACCAGTTCCATAATTTTATAAAAATGGATGCTCGATTAATTAATAAGTTTTTATAATTATTCTTAGCATATTTAATTGCATGTGATTCTGTAGTTTAAATTTATTGGAATGGATGGGGTTATAAAATGGAAATTGTTTGCACGTCAAGGCACAGTTTGTTAAGGTTTTGCTTAGTTATGGGCTAATATTCGAAAGAAAGTTAATGGAGTGTGGTACAAGCTGCTGTTGTTGTTCCCTTGTTTGTGTTAAATATATGAAATCTGGGTCATATGCATTCGAACAGATCGAGGCATTTTGCTTCTTTCTTTGTTTGTTTTATATTCTTTTTGGGTGAGGGGATGAGGGCCATGGGTTGTAAATGGTGTTGATTAGTATTGGACTCGGAATATGGATTAAAAACATATTGATTGCGGGGAAGTGGATTAAAAAGTTAGTCTAAAATGTTACTATGATATATCAATTTTATTTTGTTGTCCATATACAACATAAAATCAGTAATTGAACGATACAACAAAGCAAAAGAGGAGCACTACCAATTTGGGAATCCAGCTTCTGAGGTTAAGGTATTCTTCAGTGAAACTGCATCAGCTTCAGACTTAAGTTATCAATAAAACTGCATCAGCTTCAGACGATGTCCTGCAACAGTTTTATTGATAATTGCATTATTGATAGCTTATCTTCAAAGCATTGTTAACTATTACATATTTGAAAAATGGTTTTATATTGAATATGTTAATGTTATTGCATTTGAATTGGATATGTGTTATTGTGCTTTATTGATTGGGATTTGGATATATGCTGAACTGTGATTGTGATATATTAATGTGCATTGTTATTTTATTTGTTAGGATGGACGGGTCTAGTAGCCAATCTAGTACACCTATGGTCTCGGTATTAGGAAAACGAAAACAAACCCAACCTAGTGGTACCCTTCAATTAGGCACTTCCTTACATCAAGATTATTTGCATAATGATTATTATGAAGATTGTTGGGATGATGATCCGGATGTGGAGGAGGATAGTGCATTAGAATAAATAGAAGAAGAGGGGGAAGAGGGGGAAGAGGAAGTAGAACAAGTAGAAGAAGTAGTGAGACAATGGGATGGTCCTCCTCTGAAAAAGGGTAATACGAGAAAGGGTCAAAGTCCGGCGTGGAATGATGCTAAGAGGGTAACGATGACCGATAATAATGGGAAGAGATTGTTCATGGCCGAATGCAAGCATTGCAAACTCTTAGTATCGGCACACCCTAGAACTCATGGGACGGTGGGAATTCTTAAACATTTGAGGAAATGCACGGGTTCTAGTCTCTTTGAGAATATGGATCCGAACCAACCTACATTGACACAAGTGAGGATGGGAGGTCCGGTTGTCACTCACACTTTCAATAAAAAAAAACTTGATAGGAGATGTGTGAGGTGGATTATAATAGCGGAGATGCCTTTTAGGGTGGTTGATCAAGAGGACTTTCGAGCTTTTATTCGTGACTTGAATCCAAAGTACAAACTTCCTAATAGGCATAAGGTGGCGGCGGCGGTTTTGGAGTTGTATTTTGAAGAGAAGGCAAAAATAAAAAGTGTGATTTAGGGATTGAGAGTGAGTATCACAACTGATACTTGGATCTCGATTCAAATGATAAACTACATGGTCATCACGACCCATTTTTTGGACGCTAATTGGGGATTGCATAAGAGGATCCTAAACTTTGTCCAAGTTACTTCTCACAAGGGTGATGATATTGGAAGATGCCTAGAGGTTTGCTTGAATGATTGGGGCATAGACAAGGTGTTTATCATTACCGTTGACAATGCTAGTGCAAATGACACCGCTATTGCATACATGAAAAAAAGACTCAAGTCAAATGGTACTCTTTTACTTGACGGGGCTCACTTGCATATGAGGTGTGCTTGTCACATCCTCAATTTGATAGTTAAGGATGGAATGGCGGAGCTTAGTAGGGAGATTGATGCCATAAGAAATTGTGTGAAGTTTATACACTCATCCCCAGCAAGGTTGGAGTTTTTTAGGGAATATTGTGTCTTGTTGAGATTTGATAGGATGTCAAGTATCCCTTTTGATGTTGTCACAAGGTGGAATGCCACGTATCAAATGCTTAATAGTGCTTTCAAGTTTAAAGAAGTGTTCTCTAAGAAGGCATTTGAATGTGATTCTTTTATTGCTTACTTCAAAGAGGAGGTCTCGAAAGAGGTTGATGGGGTGACAAAAAAGGCCAAGCGGGTGGGTCCTCCGGAGGTGGATGATTGGGAAAGGTTGATGAGTTTTGCTCACTTTCTCAAAAAACTTTATGATGCCACATTGACATTGAGTGCAACCCTTACTCCAACGTCACACTTAATACTTAGCACGGTGATTGCCTTGCAAGTGGAGATAAAAGAACAAATTTTAAATGCCTCTAATGCCAATTTGCGAAGTGTGGCTACCTCAATGAAGCTCAAGTTTGACAAATATTGGGGTGACATTGAAAAGGTAAATCATATTCTCTGTGTGGCCCAATCACTCGACCCAAGGTACAAATTTGATATGTTGGAGACAAATCTAGAAGAGCTCGGCTATGGATGTGACAAAATAAGGGAGGAGAAAGTAAGGGTTAAAGGCTATGTAACCAAGTTGTATAATGCATATAAGGAGGGAGTGGTCCTTAGTGGTAGTAGTGGTAGTAGTACTAGTAGTAGTGCTACCTCAAATGTGGAGCAAAGATCAAGTGTACTAGATGATGGGGCCCGGGGGGGGGGGTGTGATGGTAGATATTGATGTTGCTTCAAGGATGACAAAGAAGATCCAAAGAAAGAGAGCGGAGGCACAACAAAATGAGATAGCCAATGAAGTGGATATGTACTTCGATGATCCACATCAAAGCTTAACATATGAGGGTTTCAATCTTTTGGATTGGTGGAAAGGAAATTGTGGTCAATATCCAACTCTTAGTAAAGTTGCTAAGGATGTATTGGCCCTTCCTAGTAGCACCGTTGCTAGTGAGAATGCATTTAGTCTTGGTGGGAGAGTTGTTGATCCTTTTAGAGTTTCCTTAACACCTAAAACGGTTGAGGCTTTAGTGTGTACTAGTGATTGCCTTAGAGGAAAAGAATTTTGTTTCTACAAGGAGCTTACACTTGACGAATTATATTTCTACGAGGAGCTTGAATGCTTAGAAAAAAAGTAAGCAAACAATTTAATTTCCTCTTTTATTTTCTTAGTATTTATTATCTATTACTATTAGACTATAATTCAATCTAAATGATTTGTGGTTTATTGTTTTAGGCATGGCTAATTTGGGAGGTGAGGAGAATACAACACAAGAAAATGAAATGCCACCTCCACCTCCACCTCTTCGACCATCTCAAGTTAAGGTTCAACGTCAAAATCAAATTAATCAATCACTACCTCCACGACCACCCATTTTAAGGGGAAGAGCTCAACCATCAATATCAAGGGGAAAGGCTCAACCAAGGGGAAGAGTACAAGTACCAACAAGAAGGGAGCAACCACAAGCATCAACAAGATTAAAGGGCTGAAGGGGCCGAAGAGGCCAACAATCTTCATAAACGTTAAGCTTTGCTTTTTAGCTTTTGAGTTTGTTACTTTATTTATTTTAAAACCTTGGCTTGTAACTAATTTTTTTGTTTTTGGATTTGTTACTTAATTTATTTTTATTGCATGCATGTCATGTGTAGTAGAAATTGAATAGGCAGATCACATATGTTATTAGCAGAAATTGAATAGGCAGATCACTATGGTATTGTGCATAGATTGTAGATTGGCAGATTCCACAGATAATCTGTGCACAGATTGCAGATTGGCAGATTGCACAGATTCAAATTGCAAATTGCCCATAGCCCAAATTTTCAATATAAAAGGTTGAATTTTAGCCCAAAATCATAATATGTCAAATTTAGTCAAAAAGCCCAAAACCATTTCGGGATTCCTGAAAATTTGGTTTGAGATCGGTATTGAATTTGGGATTCCTGAAAATTTCATTTTGGGAATCGGGACAAGGGTTTCGGTATGGGATCCCATACCGAACCATCCCTACATCTACCCAAAGTGGACGACACTTGTCCAAGCAATTCCAAACCCTAGGAATGACGCAGAAAAGTTGTTTACCTTACACCAAGAGGCATACCGGAAAGATATTGAGAGCGCTTTCGGTATTCTATAAGCACGGTGGAAGATCATTAGCGAGCCGGCAAGAGGGTGGAATCGAGAAAATTTGGACTCCATCATGATGTCTTGCATCATATTACACAATATAATAGTGGATGATAAGCAAGATGGGTATATTGATGGAGAGTCCAATGATGACCAAGAAGATCCAAATAGGTCAAAAAGGGCTCGTGCAAAAATATATGATGGGCTTAATTTGCCTTTCAATCCAAGAACTGGTAGTATCTCTATAAATAAGTACATGAGGCGCTATAAAATGATATGTTCTCGAGCCACAAACAACTACCTACAACAGGATCTTGTTGCACATCTTTGGGCCAAAAGAAGTATGGAGTAGGCGTTTAAGTTTTATGTTGTTAAATGTTTTTTAAAATGTTGTTTAAGTTTCATGTTGTTAAATGTTTTTTTTTTTTATGTTGTATAATTTGTTTGTTAGTTAATGTTATTTATTGTTGTTTCATATTGTTTAATGTTGTTTCATGTTACTTAATTTAATTTAATGTTGTATAATGGCTTAGGAAGTTATAGGAAAAAAAATATAATTTTAAAAGGATATGAAACAAATAGAAGTTATAGGAAAAAATGGAATTTAAAAAAAAAATGAAACAAATTTTGTAAAATAAAAGTTATGAAAAAAAAAATAGAATTTAAAAAAAATATGAAAAATAGAAGTTATAGGAAAAATTTTGTAAATAAAAAATGATAATAAAACTGTAAAAAAAAAAAATAATAATAATTCAAATGCAACGGCTAGCTAACGTCAGCTAGCCATTGCATTTGATTTTTTTTTTTTCTAAAGCATTCCTGTCGGTTATAATCGACAGGAATACATTTATATATTTAATATAAACGTATTCCTGTCGGTTGTAACCGATAGGAAAGTTGATTTTTCTGGCAGCCCTGGGTTGGCTGGTTGGCTAGCTGCATGCAGCCAGCCCTCCAGCCCTCTGGCCTAGCCTTCGGTTGGAGACGGTTTTCGGGCTATTTTCGGCCCTCTGGCTCTCTGGACCCTTTGGTTGGAGATGGCCTTAGCTCACCACTATAAACTATGGTGCATGCTCATCATACACCTAATAATTTGTCATGTTTCCTTTTACTTAACCTTGATTAATTTTTTGTTGAGTTGAAAGGGCTAATTCTAATCAAATGGTGCTACATTTTGTCATTCACTTTGTGATTTTTTACTGTTGGTGGAAAAAGAATGGTCCAAAATATAAGAAAGTTAAAGACATTGCTTTGGTGGATGGTTGGCTAGTTAGAGCATGCTCAGAAGATGGCATGTATACTTTGGTTGGTGTCGGTGGGCAAGGAGACAATGATCAATGATCTCTCGGCCATGTCATAAAGACTCGCATCATTTTGCATATAACATGATTACTGACAACGAGCGGGCGGAGTGCGAGGATGGGGATTAGGAGGGCCGACCGGCAGTATGATGGGGTCGCTCGACCATACAATTATAGGTTGGATTGGACTCTCTTTTATTATGTTGCTGCTTATTTCACCTTCCTTTTTAAGTTTTCTCATTCCGCGGTGCCATCGTTTATTACGCTTGTACTAAAAAAATCTGACCAAATAAATAAATGAACATATTTAAAGATAATCAATATTAAGCTCGTATTAACGATCTTATTAGAGTAAACTCACTCTAGCTTGGTAGCTTTCACCGCCTGTCGAGAGTTGAATTCTGAGATTTGATGGCGGACTTAAAAAGCTTAGCTTGGCATAACAAATAAAGAGTGTCAAGAAACAACACATACCCCTCACTTTTGGAAGGTTCGGGACTTGTGTAACAATAGTGCTATAAGAATCAAACTTAAGCAGTCTGATTTCTAATGTAGGTATCACACTCATCTAAAACCACTATAGAACGCCCAAGGAGAGAGGATAGAATTTGAACTTAGGACACAATGGAATGAAAAGAAAAACTCTATCTACCAATGCAATCCACCACTTTCTTATCTTCCACACACTTAAAAAGTTCTATTTTTGTAAGAAAGTCCTTTTTAACTGCCATCAATACATCTCGATAACATATCCAATGCAAGAAATGAATGACTCGAAAATACTAAAATGTCCCCTTACTACAATGTAAAATATGTTAAACTATGGTCCAATTTAGATGTCTAAGAATTACTAAAATGTTCTTACTCTTATTGGGTCCTACCACTAATAATCCGAGCTGAAATAGCAAATTTTCAGACGAATTCATGTTGTATTAACGGTTTGTGTACACCATAACACTCTTTTACCATTTATAAAAGAAAGTTAACACATTTGTATGGTGGTAACTAATCGTGTACAATGTAACAGTTGGGTTACATCAATTTTAAGTGTTTGCGTGTGTTTATGAACGGGTTGGGTTTTGTGAGTAACTTAGTTGGGTTTTTGATGGGCAAGTAAAGGGTTGGGGTTGGGTATAGGGAGTAATTAGTTAGCAAAACCTTGAGGGGGAGTAAGTTGTGTTTTGTCAACTCACTCCCATCCACTACTCTGTCATTTGGTGTCCAGAATTTAAGCTTGATTGAACATGCTTTTAAAATGATTGAAAACGTTTTTCATGAAATTTATTTTGAGTTCTAAAAGCATGGTAAGTGCTTTTTGGAAGAAGCATTAGATAGGTACTTCTTGTATGAAACAATTCAAATGTTTTTTTAGGATCCACTTAGATTTTTACTAAGGATTGATTTAAAAAATATTTTCACCATAAGCGCTTTCAGTTATTTTAAAAGTACTTCCAAACAAATCCTTTAATTAGATAAATGACTTAACTATATTTAAGATATGTTGAATAATAAACAAAAACAATTATGTCCAATTTGAAGGTTCTTCACTTATAAGTGAGACGTCTTAAATTTAACTTAGTAATTACAACTACCAGTTACAAAATACTCCATTAGTGTTTAAATTGTAAAAATAGTACCAACCATTTCATCAATTTCTTTCTCCCCTAGAAAATAAATGCAAGCAACCAATTAAACAAAAGGGTAAGGGAAAGGTTAGAATTGCGTGCAAAGCATGTTAATTCCAGCAGGAAATTTGGACTTTTGGCCATCCATTTCTGCATTAATTCCAGGGGATATGTTGTGTTATATATAATATACACATACACATATTGTGATGCTTACACATGCTTCACCCGTTGATCACTCTCTTATAATTTATATTTTAATTACTGTGGATCGATGTGGCTCTTTAATATTTCTTCCTTCTGTTTGCCATATACTCCAACATCATCATCATCAACATCCATAGATTCAGATCTCAGACTCAACATGTTACACGCTTGTTCTCAGTGGCGTGTGTCAACCTATGTGTGTGTGTGTGTGTGTGTGTGTATTATACACAGATATACTAACTGCTTAGATTAGATCTGCTTAATTTCTATGCTACAGCTTACAAGAAAGGGGTTTGGTCCAACCAGAAAAACAAGTCACATGCACAACTAAACTACTCTATTTATGTGACAGCTCTACAAGGTGTAAAAAGGTAAATAAGTTTAAATAGGGCTTGTTTCGATTGTTTATGTAGAAAGTTTTCCACTCATAAGCGATTTTATTCTAAGTGTTTTAATTAAAAACATGTTGAAT